GGTTGGTGTCAGAAGGACAAACCAGACAACATTTCATTATGAATCAAATGATTGGTCGTGTTCATCAGTTTCCTGTGAGGGCCACAGACACTTTATTTATTGATGGTGATCTGGACGTGAAGAGGATTTCCACCAATAAGATCAAATGTGCTTCAGAAAGAATTGACCAATACTACCTTTTAAAAAAACTGATGAACAATACGGAACATTTGTTTTTTTACTCCAATCTGCTTGTGTGCCATGGAGGCCTTCATATCAGTGGAATGTTTATTTTTGTTTTAATTTTTAGTTCCGTTTAGCAACATTCATTTAATTTAGTACAGTTTAAAAGTCAAACTGGTGATCGCTTAACTCTGTCTCAAGTCATATGTCGTTTTCAACATTTATGCAGACTTGACTATCTAAAATGCAAAATTATGACAACAGAGATTTTTATAATTCTCCAAAAAGAGTATGATCACTGTACTGATTTTAGCCAAATAAACTGTGGCTTATCCAGCACTAGTTGATCAGGCAATCATAGAAACAGATTCAACCCAGAATCACCCTGAAGCTCATCCTGACTGAACTACAACAGTGTATGTTGTTGCTAAGAGCATCAACAAGTATCACATTCTGCTTTCATCATGACTTTTCTCTGTTTCTAGACCAAGTTTGTTCCCATTCTGTAATGCACTGTGCTGTCAGAACAATTTATCCCTGTGTTTCTGGCCTGGTTTGGCTGCAGGCTGCGGCACAACCCACTCCAGGTAGGTCTTGCAGTTTTCCGATGACAGCATGAAAAGTAAGAGTCATCCTCCGCCACAAATTGTCTCAACTTTTCATCTCGCATCCCGCGTCCTCCCCACTGCTTCACAGCCACAGTATTCATCCGCCCACCACCACCTTGCAGGAATGAGGTCATGGCGTTGAAAATGAGCCATTGTTTCTAGATGCAGCCAAACTCTATAATTCAGTGGCCCCCGACGAGCTCGAGCCTTTTAGGTGACTGATCAATCCGGCGTTTCAAGGCAAATTGATGTCGAAATGTGGTTAAGGGGCGGTGCTCACGTGACGCTGCGGAGCGAGCAGGCACAGGGAAATAATGTGATCAGGGAATGCTCCTGTGTGTCTGCTCTGCTTAATACACAACTGAGCGGTTTTCAAGGGAGGATGAAACAGCCATGTCACTTTGTTCACTTCAGCAGAGCGAGGAGGCCATTTTCTCTCTTCCTGCCGGGCGTCACGCTCCTTCGGTGCAAACAGCTCGCCTCGTTGTCCTACCTATCCCATCTCGGCTCCTTCTTTCAGTTATGTCCGTCTCATTGAGAGCTCCCAACCCCCCCCCCCCACTAACCACACATGCAAATGGATTCCACTATGTGTCCTCCTGGGACGCTGTGTTGCTTTAAAGAGCCACTGGTCCAGCATCCTCATGTAGGAAAACAAATAATGTAGGATTATACTATAAAACAAAGGATTAACCCTTTACTCCAGGTTTGATGCCTTTTTCAAGGGCACGTTGAAGGAATGGGGGATCAAACCGATTCTTGACCTTTGTGTCACACGATGGCCTCGTCCCGGCCAACCCTTGCTGAGCCTTGATATATCTGAGGTTAATTTGCAGAACTCATCATAGCCTTGTGAGCTCAGAGGCTATAATGTTTAAATACAATCTCTTATGAAACCATTAAGAAAATTGCATATTTCTAGTACTCACTTTGAAGACAGGTGGACAGCGTGTAACGTGAGATGATTCTCTTTTATGGAATATTTTAGGGAGGATGATTGTGATCCCATAGTGAAAAGCGCGCAACAACAGGTACAGAGAAAATTCAAACATCTTCCTCTTCCTTCATGTGTCCATCCGGCACACTATCAATTCAATAGGTCCATGATATGTTCTATTTTTGTATCTGGTTTCAGATTAGATTATCGTATGTCCTCTGCTAATTCTGGCCAGGCTGAGAGGAAATGAGCACCCTACAAAGACGTTCTTGTTCTTAGCGATACAGCAGGGTTCTAATTTTGGCCCCCTGAGACCAGCAGCCAGCTTCTATTAGATTATGGTGAGAGAGCAGAAGAGACAGTAGGTGATGTATTAGAGAGAGTAATTGGAAGATTGCGCATGAACTTAGGGGCTCTTTGACCCGGAATAGCCATATGTCGCTCACCAACCAAAAAGGTCCTTTAATGCATCGCTGCTCTGATGTTTGTTTCAAGCGGAGGAATGTCGTAGGAAGAACACTTTGTCTCTTTTAAGTGCTTTGTTTGATTCAGTTTCAGTGTTAGAAAACTATTTCTGGATATTAAACTTGTAACTCAAAAAAATGACACAGTACATTAGCCAGTGGAGGGAATATTCCTGGAAGCAACCTGGGGGGGGAGGGAAGTTTCAGTGTTTTTGTTTTCTGCTTTTTTCTATTTCTGTGTTGTGGTTGCAGTGACTTGATGGAATTGCTTCCCAGTGGTAACATACATCATCAGAGCCATTAGTGTCAGAGATGAGCCATGTAGGCTATTCCATCAGCAGACCGGCCCGGTCCTCTTTCATTTCGTACAGCGACACGTCATACACTTAATCAGAAATTATTTAGGGCACAGACACACCCAGACACGCACTTCTCAATAATTATATATTTGCACATTTTATTTTTTCCTCTTCCTGCATTGAAATGATCAAGCCTGCTCGTGTGTTTTTCCTCGTAGCTCTGCACACTAGCTTGGTAGAGGACCTGACTTTCTACGATAAATCAATATATCTACCCGTGTTAGTGGGCCCCAGTACTCACCACACTGGATGAAAGCTTTTACAAAGCTTTTTGTGGAGAAGGGAGATGATGCCTAAACAGCCTGAGGAGAGTGGAATCACTCAGAACATTGGCGTAATTGAGGATCATTGGGGGGAGTCCCTGCCCGTGTGGCTTTGGGCCCGGGCATCTCACTGATGTCCATTGGCCTGAAGACCCCACAGTAGAGGCCTTTTTCCCCCCAGGCATTGATGTGACCTCATTTAGCTAACTAGGCTCCAGAATGCCCCCCCAACCCCGCCCTCCAACCACTCCACATGCATACACAAATGCTCACACACCACATGTGTGTGTGTTTTCTGTTTTTCACCGGGCCTGTGGTCCCTCTGTATGGTCGCCACTCATCATGACTCACAGAGCTTTGCCCTCTTGTTAAAAGGCCGTTTGACCCGTAACGTGCTTTGTAAAGTTCTGAGAAAGCAGAGGGAGAGTGACGTAGCATGGAGGAAATGACTTCATGTGCATCGGTTAGAGAAAAATATCCTTTAAATTACAGCAGAAATAGGTTTGATTATATTTAATATTCACTGCTACCATCTCAATTCAATTTTATTTGTTTAGCTCCAAATCAGAAAATACATTTTCGTAAAGGCACTTTACATAGAAGGTTGAAAAGTTAAAGATCATAGAGAAAACCCAACAGGTCCCGCAATGAGCAGCAAAACCTCCTCATTAACTGGAAAACCTCTAGAACTAGACACAAGGTGGATGGCCACCTGCCTCGGCTGGTTAAACGCGGCTCGCACATCTCCAGAAACATTCATCTTATCGGCTTCACACTTCACTTATGTATTGTTAAGGGCTCAAGGAAGTGCAGTGTTGAATTTGGTGCGATTTGAAGATGCAGTAGAACCATCAACTGTGAGAGCAGCTCGTTAACGACAGCAACTGGGTTCTGAGTCGAGCTTGGCTGAACTTTGAATAACCAGGTGAACAGCTCTTCGGCGCAGTTTTTGTGGGTTTTGTGGACTGAATCCTTCAGCAGACTCAATTACTGTCATCGACTGTCACTCTTACAGTTTCAGAAAGAAAACTGCAGCCAGCATCTCTGCACACGTGTCTTGAAGAGAAGATTTACAGTTTCTCTCTGGTTTTCATCCTTGTACATATCTTTGGGTTGTTGTTTTAATTAAATATAATGTAATTTTCTCAGTGTCTCCTGATTAACTTAGAAATCGTACAATTCATTTTTCTTTACTTACTTTCGTTACTTGTTTTTTGACAATAAGTCAAAGACACAATTGATATAAAAGTGATTACTTGTGGTTGTAGTGAATCTCATTAATTCCCCCACACATGATCATGCAAAACCTTGCATTTACAGTGAAAAAGAACAGAGATTCGATTCTGCAAAAGACTTGTTTTTTTTTAGTCTTGCTACTTCCTGCTTGTGTTGCACACAGCACCATGGGTCGATGGAACAGTGGGCCGCCCACTCTCTACTCCTACAGCACAGTGTGCTCATTTTGGCCTCCTGCCCAGTCTGTGTGCAGTATCCCCATCTTAGATCTGCACTTCCTTTGTAGCCTTTAAATGCAGATAACAGGGATGTTGCACAGAAACAAATGAGTGCACATTTATTTCATGCACATTTGAATTTATGGATGAATATATTTATTGTCATGACTTATTTACTTTAGCTTTCCTAACTGTATGCTGCTTGTTTCTAACAAAGCACGGAGCAATAAAGGTTTTTTTTCTGATTTTGCAGGAGCATTTTGTTCTCACAGTCATGCTGTGCCAAGCAGTGGTCAGCTCAATAAAATCAAACAAAGCACATTGACCCTGGTCATAAAGGATAACTTGGATCATGTGCTTTTGGACCACTCACACCCTGCAGCCCAAAAAAGCAGAAGGGTTCTGTTGTCTCTCCTCCCCTGAGACAGATCTGTCCTCGCTATTGATTAGAGAGCAGACTGAAAGCTACTGAAAACAAGACTCCATGCAAAGCAAGGTCAGGCAAAGGCTTAAACCCCTCAAATGAATTACACACTTTGACTTCAGGGATTGTGGAAAACAACCAAACAAAATGAAAATGTTTAAGGGATGATTACATGACTGATCTTTACTTTGTTTAGCATATGAATGTGCAGCATGCCTCGACTGCACAACACTGATTTTACATCTTTCAAACAAGCTGGATTTTGGAGAAGAAAGAAAAAGACTCTTGTGGGTTAAACAATCAATAGCTTAAATTTCTCTTGTCTGCAGATGGCAGGTTACAACATATGCCACGTTCTGTTGGAACAGATGTCACCGGCTCCATGGCCCCTCTGACTGGAGATCGCAAGTCCTCTGCCCCCATCCACTCCAGCCAGCCAGTCCTCTTCACCTTCGACGTGCCTGTGCGCCACACACACCACAGTTCCTTGTCCAACAGTGCACCCCAGGACTACCTCCTCCTCCACCAGTGCATGAGCAGGAAGACAGAGAGCGCAAGGTAAAGGTCGCGACCCTCAGGCGTCCTGTGTCAGTTTCCTGTTATCCGTTAATGCAGGTCAACATACAGGTTCATGGCGCTTCCTCAGTTTAGAAGCCATGAGGGTTCGGACCTCTGTTACAGGGGGGGGAAATTAGCCAACAGGGGGAAATTAGCCAACTGTGTGTGTTGTAGATTATTAATGTATTCTATAACAAGTCTAACATGAGGGAATAAATCAATGTATTGTTTGTATTGTTATTGATCTTCTTTTGAAACCAGATTTGAATTCACAAATTAATTATGTTTTGGGATATCAATAAAAAATGTGGCACACATTTGAAAGATGGGAGGGAAATAGAAAACCGCAATATTCATTAATGGCTTATTTACAGATACATAACGCATCCTTCCACCAAGTTTTGTGGAAACCTTCCAGTAGTTGTTGTGTAATGATGCTAACTAACAGAGAGCATAACAAACAGATGAAAGCATAACTTCCATGGTAGGTACTAATTATCATACAATAATGATACTCGGAAAAGGGGGAAAAGGGCACATGGATAAACGCAGTGATATGTTATTTTAATTTGAAATATTGATCATTAAAG